TTCAGAGTATTTTACTGGAATGAGTTTTTTCTCCATTTGCATCACATATAAACCCAACACATTTTTCATCACCCAATTACTTTCTCCATGAACTAATTTTTCAGCTCCTTAGGTACAAAGAGTATATATAGTATTTTATCCTTTTTTTTATTACTTCTAAGAAGAAACCATGTCCTTCTAAAACAAACTTAAAAAAAAATGCACATTGACAGCAGCAACCAATAACATTTTCCTTATGATAGGTTTCAGTAAACACAAGATTGCCTTTCTGATACTCAATTTTCAAGAAACTTTAAAAAATCAGAATTTAAATAATGTCAAAAAATCCTAATTCATGTGAAGACAAACATAAAATAATGACCAATAAAAACTAAAAAAGTATTTATGGATAAAAAGGGAATGTCTCATGTGCCAGGTTCCCCTTTGCACACATCAACTGAGAAAAAAACAATTAAACTGGTAAATAGTATATCCATAGTCTATAGTAATACTAAAAGTTTTGCATGAAATAGAATTTTCTGGACATGCTAAGGATGGATATAAATGACATGAAAAAACCTACTTCATTTATTCATTTTAAAAGCATTTACCCAGTCCCTACTAAATGCATGAAACGTTGTATATCACTTTCTCTCATGTCCCAGAGATTAAAAAAGCACATTAAAAAATAAAGTCTGTAATTTTAGATTTTACAGTATATTTGAACTACCAAACTGAATAACTTAAATACATATAGCTGAGAAAGCACCACCATGTGAATAGGAACTAAATTAGAGCTGTTCTAATATTACTTACACATTCAGAAGAAAAGACTGAGTCATATCAGATAACTTGCCCAAAGTCGCCCAGTGGTGGAGGGGCAATTTAATCCCCCAAAATTGTTACTTCAGAGCCTGACACATCGAACCGCTACAGGAGACTGTTCCTCAGAATTAAAAAAGGAAGTGAACCAATTTCATATAAAATTAAAGACTGATAAAGAAGATTAGAATAGGAGATCTACGGGAAAAAAAGTTCAATCAGAATAACAACAAGAATGAGTATTTTTCTTTAGTTTGAGCTCCCCGAAAAGGCTATAAGTTAAAAGTAGCTTGGACTTGCCAAGAGAGACAAAAAGCTACTGCTCCTGCCACTATACAAATGCGTAACTCCAGGATAAAGGGCCACCCTTAGGACCTACACTGAACTTACCCCAGCTCCTTGTTTACATTTGTGAATGTTTTTCAGCTATTTACTTTTTAATTTTACATGCTAATCTATGATAAAATCTTATACCATAAACAACAGGTAAGTTTTTCAGTGAAACTGGTTTTTCCCTCAAGTCCTAAAAAAATAAAAATAAACCAAAACACTTTCTCCAAAGAGTTGAGAAAAACCCAATCATCTTACAGTCATGCCACAACTGCACTAACCTGAGTGTGTTTCTTAAAGCTTCCATAATGGGCACCAATTCTGAAAAGAATTCATATTTTTTCCAATCCCATACCACAGCTTAAAATTTTAACTTTTTATCCAAATACTGCTATATGAATGCATTAAGTGTAACATCATTCACCCCAAATCTGTTTCAAGAAAACAATCTAATAATCAACCACATGACAATAAACTGATAATTCCCCTACTTTTACATTTTTGGTGGATAGACAGCGCCCTCTGCTGCACAAGTTGAGGAATATTCAACCAAGCTGAAAGTATCCACAAAGAATAATGACAATGGCAAAAAAAACCCTGGGAAATCTGTTTTTGAGATTCGTATTTTGCATTCTTGCACATTACCCCTGAAGAGATGTCGAAATTCTCTAAATGGAATGAAACACTTTCCTCCATACACTCCTGAAGTTTTCAGTCTGACCCTTTTCTGTCTCACCTATATTTACAGGCAGAAGAGTGTACTGGGTGAATATTCCCAAAAGACCCTAGTGAAATGAAATCTGGGTGTGCCCTTCTTTCTGCTCCATCTCTCATACAAGGAAACTGGACACAGATCAATCAGTGGAAGTCTGATTACAATTCTAAACCACCTTCATCCAAGCAGTCACAGACTATAAACTTGCCCAATCTGGCAAATGAGATCAGAAGACAAAAAGGTGTTGTCTTGAAGAATGGGAGAAACGTTCCTTATCATTAAAATATGCTCCATCAACACTGAGAGATTGGAGAATTTTATAAGAGAATCTAAAGTTCTAAATTTTTAATATGTTACAGTCTGTGTTGAAGACATAATGAATCCAAAATATTCAAGACTCCTAAGCCTTCATGATATTTGAGGCATTTTTAGCTGCAAGCATTAAAATACATTTTCTACAATGAACCACATTCAAAGTTCACTTTAAAAATAATAGCTGTCTAAATTATACAAAGTTTGGTTACAATATATAGATAATATAATTAAAAACCACTTTGAAATATGGACTGTTGGTAAAAATTTACTAGAAACAAAACTTTTAAATCATTATCAATTTTTAGAAGTTGAGGAATGCCTAATACTCTTCCATTTGTCTTGACATAATTGGCCTTTCTTTATATAATCTAATTTCATTCAAGCTAACCCTGAAAATTGAAAACTTTAATTCTAGTGAGGAAGACTTAAAATGATAACTATATAATATAAATAAATGGGTGAAATAATTAAGAACAATTTAAAAATAACTCAAAGAAATGCTGTTTTAAAAGAATGAGAATGTGCCTCTTATCTAGTCCGATTTCTGTTGTTTTTTAAAAGCAAATTTGGAGCACCCTCTAGTGGAAAACTGGTGACATGATGCTTAAAACCTTTCTGAAATTTTATTAATTCAATTTCCATTAACAACTATGACTTGGGCCAAAAAAGTTAATTAGGTAGACTCCTCTTTCCAAATCTCACTCTTAAAGTATGCCCATCAAAACACACAGGTACAAACACAAACAAAGACAAAGCATTTCTCAAAGTACAATAGAAAAGGTTACCAATTTTTAAAAGAAGAGACAAGACCTATAAATATAACAATATATGTATAATTATATTCCATACATTAAAGAATCCCACTTTGGTTATGATTATAATGTAAAAACAATCACTTTAGTACTTTGATTCTGTGGTTAGAAGATCCAACCAAAAAAGAGGTCTGAGAAATCAACTAAGGAAGACTTTTTCCAAATCACAATTCTCTCCAAACACACCATAATTACTAAAGCAGTAAATCTGGCCAGAACCTTGATGACAATCTAGTAACATTCCTTCAGTCTTGGTTATTAAAGAGACTGCATAGCCTGGACATAGACATGATTCCCACATGCAAATTCTTACACATGTTAAGTTTTCACACTAAAAATTTTAAATTGAATATACAAAATTTCAGATTATGTGCCTTAACAGGGTTACTACACTAATATTAATCAGATTACACTCAATATAGTATGTTAAATTCTTGGAACCACAATTAGGAGAAATACTAACAAAACAGAAAATGTGTTTATCTGAGAAACTATTTTAAGGGCACTTAAAAATCCATTTTCTATGGAAGGCTGAAGAAACTTGTATTACTTAGCCTAGGGAAGAAAAGGCTACATATAGCCTAGGGAAGAAAAGGCTACATAGAACAGCAAACATATTTATTCACTCATTAGTTCAACACTGATTCATTCAAAAATTCAAATGCTTTAGCTAGGTGTTATTTGAAGCTTTGGAGGTATGGTGCTAAACTGGATGGACAAGGTTCTGGTTCTCACAGAACCTGCATCCTGAATGGGAGATGATCAGAAAAAGTCAAAAGCTGCACGGAAGCCAATATTTGTCTGTTCTGTTCATGTTGGTATCCCAGCCCCTAGAACAATATCTGGCACATAGCAGGTGCTCAATAAATATCTGTTCAATTATATAAGAAGATAACTTCAGCTAATGATAAGTGATATAAAGAGAGCAAAACAGTAATACACAGAGATAATTAGGGGTGGGGTGGCAGGAGTATGTTATTTCAGATCAGATAGTTAGAAAAGGCTTCTCTAGGGAGATGCCACTGAAACTCAGACTTAATAACCAAAGTCAGACCTGCAAGGATCAGACAGAAGAGCTTTCCAAGAAGAGGAAACAACACGGACACTTGACTGTGGCAGGAGTGGTCTGACATCAGACATTCAAACTGATCCATGTGGGCAAGCCACAAGAACAGAGTTCAGATTTTATTCCAACAGTTCAGGCAAAAGATAGTAGTGACTTCAAATGGGGTCAAAGCAAAGGAAATGAGGAGAGTGGGTAACTTCATGGTCTATTTTGGAGGTGAGGAGTAAACAACATTTGCTAATAGTTTCAATATGTGAAATGAGGCCAAGATTGGAATTTAAAACGACTTCTAAGCCTGGGGCTTAAAAACTGCGTAGGGTAAACTATGTTGCTATTTACTAAGACGGTAAAATGAAGTGAGAAGCAGGTATTAGCCAGGTAGTGGAGGCAGAGAACAACTTTTACTAACTGGTCACATAATTAGGATTTCAAGTAAGGGGTTGGATATATCAGTTTAAGTTTCTGAAATGGGGAAGTACAGTGCTGTAAATATGAAAGTTATCTGCATAAAAATGGTGTTTAAAGCCATAGGGCCAAAGCATTATCAATAAGAGGGATGAGAATGATTATTCTATGGAACTCTAAAGGGAAAAGCAAAACAAAACCTCCTTAAAGGTAGAGATTAATGTGATTAAACATATTTGATAAACAAAAAACACATTCTAACCTTCTAACTAGAGCTTTACTATGAAAGACTCAGCTTGCATACATTTTGGGCTTTCCACCAAGGGACGCATTTTAAGAAGCAAGAACTAGAACCATCTGTAGGATTACTACTAAAGTATTTTTATAAGGTTTGGCAGAGTCCCCTAGACATCCTCCAAAGGAACCATGTAAAGGGACTTTTAAGATTCTACGATTTAATTTTCAGTTAGGCAACTTACTCTGTTACTCAATAAATTCCAGGGTAAAAATCATTGGCATACACAATATATATCTGCTGATAGCCATTGTATGGTACCTGTTTTTGTCAGCAAAAGGTTATCCAGGTGCCTGTCTCCAACTCCAAGTATGTATGTAATCACGCAATATCCAGCTACAATAACAGTTCAAAAAAAATTGTGAAAAATACATGCAACCAGGTTTTACATACAATTGAATATGAAAGCAGTTTGTGCAACTTTAACTTCAATTTGAATACTATTTTTTATTGCTCACCTAAATTCTCAAACTAAATGTGTAATCTTCTTTGACTCTATGAAGTTTATCACTTGAAACTGAGATTTACTATTTGCAACAGAAAAAATACCCTGTAGAATTTTGTCACTTATAAGTCACCACTATCAAAGTTAAATCAGGTTATTAATAATTAGAACATGTGTTTACCATTTCAAACTGGATACATGTTGAAGATGATAGTGAAAAAGAAGTATCTATAGAAACATACATACTGAAGTCAACCATCCCACTACCGTGTTATCTACAAGATAACAAAAGTAAATTCAGGGTAAAAAATAATATTTTGCAAAACAATCCTAAGTGCCAGCAAACAGAAAAACAAATGAATTCGCTTGAGCAGTAAAGGCATTTATGGAGTTTCACAGCATAATCTTCTAAACTATTAAGAAACATTACATGAGCAGGGCTGGGGCAGAGTCATTGGCTCCAGCTTTACTCCCTTTTATCTTTCTCTTCTTTAGCCTGAAAACCTGGCATGTGTTGAAAATACTCAAATAAAATTAAGCATTTAACAACTCTTTGAAGCTTCTTTTTCAACTTTATTTCTCCCATTACAACAAATACAATTTGCAAACATACATGTAACTATATCAGTATTTACAAAAACATGTTTGAGTCCATATGTAGAAAAAAGACTGAACCACTTATTAATGATCAAATAAATACTGTCCAAATTCAGTAAACACTAAGGTTCATTTGACTCAGTTCTGAAGGCCATTCTAGAAGTCTGAAAGTGACTTAAGCAATGAAATCACCATTGGGTTAATACTGAATTATTAATAATAATCCCAGTTACAATTTACTGAATGCCAGGCTCTTTCTTAGCTGAGCATATTACCTATATTCCTATAGCCCTTTCAATGATACCAGTTAAGTATTATAACCATCCATCAAATGACAAAAAACCTCAGGCTCCAGGAGGTAACAGGATTATCCAAGGTCATTTGACTGGGATTTTAACCTAAATTTGACTCTAAATTCCTCACTAATGCCATTTTTGTACTGACTAACTCCTTCTTCCCAAGTGGCTATGTTGATAGATGCAACATCAATAACATATTTAAGCTTAAGTACATTCATTTAGAGTAACTAGCCATATTCTAATTATAGATAAAAGTATATATTATATGTATTTTAAAATACATCCATATGTAGAGAATGAATGATAGCAGAGTATCATTCAAAAATTCTTCCAATTATACTACTAGTCTACTAACAATTTTAACATCATGATAACAAATCAATTACAGTATGTAAAACAAATCAGTTATTTTCAAAATAATAGTCTGTAGTGTGACAGGGGACATTAGTTTATATACACAATATCCTATCTATGCTCTTTGCCCCTAGAATTTATGGGGCAAGACTGTGCATAGGTAAAAGATTACATTCCCCAACCTCACTCACAGTTAGGTATGTCCAATGAAATGGAAGCAAATGTAGTTTTGTGGTGGGCATTTTTTAAGTGAGGGCTGACTAGGGTGACTAAGCCTTTAGGCTTTTTCTCTTCCCTGGCTAATCTGCAAACGTAATGATTGCAGCTGTGGCAGTCATTTGCGATCATAGGCAAAAGGCTGAGACTCACACAGACCTTGGATGGTCCTAATGTCCCTCAAGCAGCTCAAACAACAGTAAAGGCTTGCAGCTCTGCTTCTTACAGAAAACAGTTCTTACATGTGTAAGCTATCGCTTGATTATGTTAACTGTAGCTGAATGCAATTGTTAACACATTTAGCAGTCCACTAGGGGTCTTCAAGGTTATTTACATAAGGGATGAGCAAATATAGCTTACTGGCCAAAACTGATCCCCCTCTGTTTTTATATTTTATAAATAGTTTACTGAAACACAGCCACACCCATTCATTTGCATATTTCTTCAGCACTACAGCGGTCTGGTTGAACAGCTGCAACAGAGACCATCTGGCAGAACACCCTAAAATATTTACTACCAGGGAGGCTTTAGGGAAAAAGTGACTGAACACTGATTGATCCAGAGCACTGCTCTTCAAAACGGGATACATATACTGGCAGTTTCACTTAGAAACTTATTAAAAGTGCAAGGTCTTAAGCCCTACTTCAATTTTCTATGCATAAGAATCTCTATGGGCAGTGGCCAGAAAGTGATTGTTAATACACCACAAAGCTGGAAATGCCCTCTCTAGTTTTTAATGTACATAAGAATCCCCTGGAAATCTGGCTTAAAATGCAGTATGTAATGTATGTAATTGCTGAATCACTATGTTGCACACCTGAAACCAATAGAATATTGTGTATCAACAATATAAAAATAGGCAAATAAAATGCAGACTGTGCTCAAAACATCAGGGGCAAGGCCTGAGGCTCAGAAATAAAAAACAAGTTTCCAGGTGAAGCCAATGCTGCTGGTCCATCGATTGAGTAGCACTGCTCTAAAACTGGTACAAAATGTGTAATTCCACAAATGACAAAAGGCTCTTCACTGAAAAACTATGTAACTTTCTAAAGGGTATTATTGCATCTGGTATTCATAAAGAGAACATATGAGAACTTGGTATACTGTGTTCTCTAGTACATGATTCACATAGAAATCTGCTTGGTACTTAGTACTTGTCAAAGATACAAACTCCTAATGTGCATGCAAAGGTAGGTCAAACTCCTGCAATTTTCAAAGAGATCACTGAGTATCAGTGTTCTTGAGTTGTTGTATGGTACTTACTACTTACTCTCTTTTTAATTATAAATTGCAATAAGTTTAATCATTATTTATTTAGTTTACTTCACATTGGTGAGCTATCACTACATAGTAACGACTCACTTGTGCAGTAATTTTGCCCTAAAATGTACAAGTAACTAGACATGTATGAATCATGCCTGTCCTACTGATAAATTAGTTTATTTACACTACTCTTTATCATTTAATTTGCTTTTACAGTGATATTTCATTGTTGTTATTGGTTTATTTCAAAATGGAGTAGGGAATGTATGAGAATTAACCTTTTACCCTGCATCAGTGGGTTAAGGTCACAAATATGTTTGATGGTTTTTTTTGATAAATGTTTTTTAAGTCAAGTGAGATAGCATATAATCTTCTTTCATATATGCATGTATGTGTGTGTGTATATATATATATATGTGTGTGTGTGTGTGTATATGTGTGTGTGTATATAAAAGATGGCGGAGTAAGACTTTAGGGTGTTTCAATAATTCAGTGTCAATACTTAAGAGAAACAATACATCCTGAAAAAGACATCTAAGACAAGAGTGGGACGAATCTCCGGAAACTGTGAGGACAAAACTAATATTCAGAATGATTTGAGATGGCACGAGTTGATCAGAGGATTCTTATGGAAAGAGAAGCCATTCTGTAACTACAATGGACAAATGATACCTGCCTGTCCAGAAGAATCTTGTCAAAAGGAGGCTGTTCGCTAGTATTTTGATGCTATGTGATATTCACAATATCCTGAAACTGGCTTCATAAAACAACTCTGGTTTAATGTAAAATACAGAGAAATATTGACAGCTAAGCAATGCTATTTCCCTTTACACAGTAAGGATATGTTTGAGAATAATTGGTATTCTCACATTTACTCGCATGACATAGACTTGGCATCTTGCATTATCTGGAAATACTGTCATCATAATGATTATCACTTTTTCTACTTACACTCTGCCCAAACCTAAAGCATCAGTTTCTGAATGAAAGTTATACATACATCTTTATGCTAATGTCCAACAGATTCTAATACAAAGCACTACAGAAAAATTCAAATAATGGCTCAACCTTATCATTACTTAGAATGCTACCAACTCACTGAAACACAGAAGATTATTTTGTAACATATCAAACATGTAGAAAACAGGCTAAAGGCCTACTATCAAATTGGTTATCAGGGGATGAACAAATGTATAATGTTTGGGAAAAAAGAAAGGAACAAGATCTAATTTGAATTGAACTGTCCAATAGGTGTAACTTATAAGGCTACTTTTTTTTACATGAAAAGCTAGTCATATTTTCAATAGCTACTAAAATTATTATGTAAGAGGTACAACACTATGACACAGCATGTATCCATAATACGCTGTTTCAGTAATTTAACTAGAAGAGGTTTTTCAAATTTTAGTCAGTACTTACAAGCTGTATGTGTATATATTCCAAGTAGAAAGTTAACATTCCTTTATTACATATATATGTAAAAAAAAGTTTATATCAACTATCTGAAAAAGTTAGAAGACACAAGATCATTTTTTGAAGACATGTAAAATACTTCATATAACAAGGCACTGAGAAACAGGTGTGACAGATTAAAAATGGCTGCATATTTCCTAACATGCTTTTCATCCAGTTGGGAACTATATCCCTTCATCTTGAATCCAGGGAGACTCTGTGACTGCTCTGACCAAAAGATTATGGCAGAAGTGACAAACTATCAACTTCCCAGTCCACACCTTCAGAAACCAAGACTTGTACTTCCTTTCCTTTGGAATTCTTCCTCTTGGTGCCCAGCTTGGAGAATTCCAAGCCTCAGAGAGGCCATGTTTTGAGAGGTGACTTGATTGACAAGCCTTGCTGAAAGGTACTATACACTGCCAGTCATGTGAGTTATTTATTTTAGATATCCAGCTTAGTCAAGTCTTTAGATGATATGTAATTTTTTCAGATCATGGAAAACATAGACTTGAAGGTCTGAGGGAAGAGAAAGAAGAGAAAATGGGGAAAATAAAGAAGGAAGGAAAGAAAGCAGAGGGAAGGAGGGAGGGAAAGGAGAGAGAAATACAGAGTGGGAGAGCCAGCAAGAGTTAGAGGAAACATTTTCTCTACAAGGCTTTGATCAATGTTCTAATCTCAGTAAATTCTATGTGACCATTTTTATGTGTAAACAGTTTATTTCCCTTCATTATAATTTAGAATTAAAATCCACAAAGGATTCTAATGCACACACATTTTATTTCAGTGTTTTTAAAGTTCTCACATACTAAATTTTCTTTGTACTTCTTCCACAAAAATCTATCAAGTATAAATTTGAGAATAAAGTACAGGGTCGAAAATAATCTGGAATACTGACTCACAGGAATATTGAGAAAAAAAGTGTCTTTAATGTCATGTATAAGAAAGGAATTTATAAACCATAAAATATGAAAGTTTAAATATAGTTGTTGTATCTCTAAAAAGCCTTCTACTTGATTCACCCAGTGTTAGTTGCTTAAGTATACATATAAATACAGATATAAAGATAAATATAATATTTATATGTAACAGAAATAACGTTATATCCCATATACCATTCATGGCTCAACTCTATTGTCAACTCCTTTATTAGCCCTCCTTAAATAATCCAGTTATAAAGAAAAAAATCTCTTAAGAATAAAATATAATCCTCTAAAATTTAAACTTCATAAGGATAAGCATAAATGGGTGAAACATATGAATTAATCCTTCAGGCATGCTGCTATTTATTTCCAGGAAGGGACTATAAATATTAATCTAAAATATACCCACCTAATACAGCACTGGTATCTTAGTTCTTGAGATTCATCTAAAGCATAATTATTGCTGACTGAGACACTTCCCACAGTCTATTTAATTGCAGTTACTCAAACAAAGGGAAAATCTAGGGGAAAGTTAACAGCTTCTAGCAAGAGATAACTTGTAATTATCAAACAGTTAAGTGATTGCAAAGATATATCCATTAACACAAAATATAATTTACAACTTGTTACTACTATTGTATCAAAACTTTAGTGAATTCTTTTGTCAAACTTCTTTTAAACTTCTTCTTACAGAGCATTTAAATCTTCTATGGTCTGAATCTTTTTGTCCCCCCAAAACTCACATGTTGGAATACTAAAGCCCAAGGTAGGGACAACGGGAGATGCTTAGGTCATGAGGGCGAAGCCCTGACGAATGGGATCAGTTCTCTTATAAAGAGACACCCACAGAGCTCCCTAGCTTCTGCCAACAAGTAAAAATACAAGAGCTCTTCCACCCAAAAAAAGCCCCTATCTGACCATGCTAGTAACATCTCAGACTTCCGGCCTCCAAAACTGAGAAATAAATTTCAGTTGTTCATAAGTCATCTAGTCTCTAGTGTTTCACTATAGCAGCACAAATGGACTAAGACAAAATATCAACATATTCTAAACGTGTATGAATAGGGGAACCTCAAAATAGTCTGCTTTCCTTTATTCCAACATATCAATGGAATGTAACAGCTTAAAAAACTTACCACAGCTTTTAACGTAAGTGTCCATAACTTCAGCACTGATGCCATTTGGCCCATTCTCACTTGGTGCATATTTTCTAAAAAAATTCTGAAAAAATATGTACATGTTCACAATTTCAATACAACTCTTAAAGAAATTAGACATTCCAAAATTGTAAATAATGACCAAAGGTGTCTGCTCCAAAAATTAGTCAACAATTATACAATGTGGACATTAAAAAGCATACGTCTCAGGAATCACGGTTATTACTATGCTTACTATAATAAGACTGTTAAGAGAAAAAAAAAATAATGCTACTTCTATACCTGAGGGGAAACATTAAAATGCATTTACTACTATATCTCTATGCTTAATTTATCACTTTATTCTTACATTTCTCCTAAAAGTAAACATGAGGGTTTTCTGTATCATAGCCTGAAAGTGAATGTTTACGTTTTTAAAATTATCTTTTAAGCACAGCTATTGAAACAGTTACCATTAACAAGTTCAATAAAATTACATATAAAATTCTGAAATACTTAGAACACAAATACTAAGAAATCTTAGATTCAGAAGACATGATGCAAAACATATAAGAGATGCTGACTGAATAAGAATTATAGGAGCATAATAAATGCACTGAAGTGTCCAAAGAGTCTGGAAACACTGGGAAAACAGGGTTTTTTGTTTTGTTTTGTTTTGTTTCAAATTACCAATTGGACTTACTTACATTTAGATGTTAAAGAAAAACACACAGATTGTATGAACTGAAAATACGACTAATATATTGTTAAAAAAAAGGTTTATTGTATATTTTCAACTTTTTAAAACACCCTATAAGCTTGACAAAGATCTAGAATATATAAAGAAGTCCTATAAATCAATAAGAAAAAGACAAACAATCCAACAAGAAAATGGGCAAAAGATGTGAGCAAGCACTACACAGAAGAAATAAATGGCCTATACATTCATTTTTAAATTCTCAGCTTTATAAGCAATCTGGAAAATACAAACTAAAACTCAACCAAAGTTAAGATGTTTAATAAGATTAGGTAAAGATGTATAGCAAGGAGAGAATGAATAGTTGTTCCCCAAAACAACTACTTTAGAAAACAATTTTTAATTATCTTGTAAAGGTGGAAAGATGAGAATGACCTACAACTCAGCAAATCTATTTATGCAGATCTGACACAAAACCAAGATTCAATATACAAACTGTCAGTCTTTATTTCATAAAATTATAATTCCACAGACCAACATAATAATAGATAACTTTATTAAACAAGTCCTTCAACTAGAACATATGTTTAAGTTATACATCCATTTCATGTCATCTCTAGAACAACCGTAGAGCTAGGTACTATTAGTTACTACCAAAGTTTCACAGATACAAAACAGAACTTGCAGGATATGTTGGGTATCTGTTTGATACCCCATGATATACATGTTTGATCTGTTAGATGGAGTCACAGACTCAACATATAATTGTATCACAACTAGGGTTTATTACACTGAAAGTATACATAACAAGACGAGTGTGGGAAAAATACACTGGCAAAGTCTGGCGAAATCTATGCACAAGCCTTCTTGATCTCTTCTGGAAGGGGATACACTGAGTATACTTACTACTTTTCTCCAACAAAAAAAAAAAAAAAAAAAAAAAAGGGCATACAGGTACAATGTTTCTGTCCAAGAAAGCTGATTAGTGACTCAGCATATATGGTTCTTATGGGGGCTAATCACATAGGCACTCTATCTAGCAATTATCAAATGAGAAAGCAGGCTGTTTGCAATAAATCACATTATTTGTAGTCTAGGTACAGTGAATCACCCTTACCAGTTAGCTAACAGAGGGAACACACTGGAAGCCAAGTCGCCAGATACCAGCCAAAGGCCAAGCAAGCAGGCCTTTCTAAAGACAGCAGCCTCAGCTTACTTTGTTAACTCCTTTTGCAACAAAGAGTTCAGCAGTCACTCAAGGTTATAAAGCTGGAAAGATGCATAACCAAACTTGAACCCTAGGCAGTCTGAGATTCTCGACTTGAGCTTTAACCATTGCTTGTGACTGCACCCCAAACCAAAGAACAGAATAAGCACTTGCTTTGCCAAGAAATTAGTGTTCCTTTTCTACAAATCTAAGCTCATACAGAATTACTGTGTAAAAAACTCCAAAGATATACATGCCTTAATCCTACAAACAACTCACCATTTCTTGTATTAAAGGTTGTGACTGCACCCCAAACCAAAGAACAGAATAAGCACTTGCTTTGCCAAGAAATTAGTGTTCCTTTTCTACAAATCTAAGCTCATACAGAATTACTGTGTAAAAAACTCCAAAGATATACATGCCTTAATCCTACAAACAACTCACCATTTCTTGTATTAAAGGAGAACAATGAGGATGAAGTGGGGAATAGGGATCTTAAGAAAGGAACTGTGCAAAACATGTACAAGCAAGAATATCACTGTAGCACTGTTCCAAATAAGAATAAACATTGGAAATAATAAAAATGTTCATTAATGGTTAAAAAAATGATAGTATTTTCATACTCTGGAAAATAGTATAACCATAAACTTTAACAGATTTTTTATTTGTTCAGCAGTAATTTCTAATCCCTTATTATGTGCCAGGCACTGTTTAAGGAATTGAGCATCTGCATGAATGAACATGGAAGAACTCTCAGGACAGGAAAACAACTTGAGGGAAGAAGGAGAGTTTCATTTTTAATTCTATATGCCTTTTGTAAAGGTTGAATTTTTTTTATAACAAGAATATGCCCATGAATTGTATAGACCTTTAAAATACATACTGTACCTGAATACTTCCTTCTGTATCAAGAACTTCAGCAACAGGAACTGACTGGATGAACTGCATGAAGCCTACACAGAAATATATGCACTGCATTTAGCACAGCTATTGATTAAGCAATTAAAATAAAGATCCTGCTAAAAAGAACCTTCATTTGAGAATGCGTACACTTCACATCTGAAGAGCTTAAAGAGGTCTGTAAACAATATTAAGCTTATACTGGCTTAATATTGTTCTAAGTCATAGGAACTACAAGGATACTTTTTTTTCAATTAAGTGGATTTAATGTGTATGTTTCTTTAAGCCAATTTATATTATTTACACAAAGAACAAAAGTAATAGGAAGAGCTTCTGAAATCTGGCACAAGAATGCCTTTTTTCCTGTAGTTTTATAATATATATATATATATAAATTAAAATCACTTTAAAAAATCTGAAAATATGTATTATCAGTCACCTAAACCTGAAACTGCATTATATTCATTGGCTTTTCTGTTTCATACTCCATCTTCTGCCACCTCCAGAAGTGATGAGAGAAAAAGTGTAAATTTCTTAAACCACCAAAAAGAAGAAGAATGCAATAGTGTATAAGGCAAATGAGGATAAAACATAAGCCTAGTAAGTCTGGAGACAACAACAGAAGTATATAACAAGAAATATATGAAAAAACTCTAAGCTGAGTGAAGGAAACTATTTCAGATCATAACAATCTGGTTTTGGTGAACTTTACCTTGTAATTATTTACATGCAAATTACTTCAGAGTTAGTAATGTCTCATTCATTCTTTATCACAAATATGGAATAGTCACATTATTCACATAAGAGATATTAATTTCTTTTCTACTATGTAGCAAGAATTTTGCCAAGGAAAACATAAAGCCTTGACCCTGCCTTTATAGATCATACAAGCTTGCAAATTTTATTGGGATAAATATTATGGATGAAAAGACACTATGAAACAGAATAGTGTAGGGACCTAAATTACAATAATGATCAGAGGACATCTGACATTTGAGCAGTATTTTGAGGGATAATGAAAGTTAACAGGTAAAGCTAAGGAGAAAGGATGTTAAAGGTAACAATCATAGCATATGTGATGGCTTGAAAGCTGAAAAGAGCATGGTACATCTGAGAAAATGGAAGGTAGCCTATGTGGCTACAGCCCAGGATGCAGGGGGGAAACAGGCAAAATGAGAGACTTGTGGGACAGGCAGAGGAGAGTGCCACACCATGTCAGAACTCGTAAACTAACCTAAGGTTTTTGTCTTTGTCCCAAGAGCAAATGAAAGCTAGTAAATTAAATTATGCAGGATAGGTAACACTTTAAACAAGATCATTCTAATAGGGAAATGAGAAGAGGAATTAAACCATCAAAAAGATTTGGGTGTGGCCAAGGGAAGGACAGAAAACCTAAAAGAGACACTTTGTTTCTCCAAGGTATCTGAGGATAAGAAGTTCTATGAATAACAAAACTATGGAATTCACAATAAGCATTAGGCAAACATTCCTCAGGAATCTTCCACCAAACCTCCAGATTATTTAATCAGAAAAATACTCTGTGTCAAGATGCTATATATCTACATAAAAAAAAATTACTTAATAAGGCAACATCATTTGCTAAGTGGTTTTTATAAGCAGAGCTCAGTACAAAGCCATTCTGGGTTATGGTAACTCTCAAAAGATGATTGAGGACACAGATTAACAACTAAGAAGCTGATTTGTGAACATTTTTGAGTGTAAACATCATAAAGGCATTAAATTTTCTTCCAGGTATGCTAAGTATTTCAGGCGAGAAAGACAGAAGGAGACAGGCTAGTCCAATTGGTCTTCAGTGCTACAAATGAGTTTGATCTCTAACACTCTTAACTTTCAATTAAAAAAAGGAAAAGTACAGTTGACTCTTGGCCAGCAATGGTTTCAAGTGTCCAGGTCTACTTATACTCAGATTTTTCTCAATACATATACTGGAAAATTTTTTGGAGATTTGTGGCAATTTGAAAAATATTTTATCTTCTCTACCTTTCTTTATCATAAGAATAAAGTATATATTCATATAACATACAAATATGTTAATCAGCCTTTATGTTAAGCTTCAGACTTCCAATCAACAGTAGGCTATTAATAGTTAATTTCTGGGGGGAGTCAAAATTTACATGCATATTTTTGACTGAATGGGGGATTGACACCATTAATCCCCACATCGTTCAAGGGTCAACTGTAGACTCATAGAGCACTGAAATATATAATCATGGTGTAAATTAAACTTACCATGTTTTGTACTAGTGGCTAATACTTTATAAGGTGTCAACTTCAAATCCAGATTTTCTTTCCTTAGCAGCTTTTGATCAAAAGATAAAATATATTAACGAAATATAAATATTGTTATGAAACAGCTTTGTAGTCAATAAGAGACTTAGTGTAATATAGAGACTTAGGGGGTAAACCTAAATGAAAGTTTAACTAAGATAATTAGGTAATTTGATTTTGATAATCAAAATAAATTAACTAAGCATTTACTTGATGGTTATGCCAAATTTTTTATCTTATTGTAAATCACTATCAGTACTTTTCAATGCATAGTAGGATTCCTCCTACTGATTTATGCAGTTTTTTCTGGTCATTAAGTATTTTAGAACTCAGAAAAAAGGAAATGAGAGCAAATATGTTCCTTCAAAAGCCAAGGACAGGAATGGGATTTTAAAAAGAAGATCATCTAGTTAACTAAGAGGAAGGAAATTAATTAAATCTGATATCAGAGAGAATTGGGAAAAGTTTTTATAAGAAGGAACACATGCAGTTTCATTTTATACTCATCACAAGAGCCATTTCTGTACTGTAGAAAAATAATTAGATTTGTTAAACATCAAGTGGAGACTGGTGAGCTTTCCAGGTTGTACTGGAGGTTACAAATACTTCTGTGTCCATATACAGCATATGCACTAAACGATATAGTTTGCCAATATGAAAAAATGTTCGCCATCAATATAAGATTATGTTCACCTTGTCCATGAGTGAGATGATTTGAAGAATAAGTTGATCTTGGCGTAAATCATCCCCATGCTTAAATATAACTGGATATTTGCCTCCATCTTCTGTCTTAAAGAACAACTGTGCAGGCATAAGAGCACTCTGGAATAAAAATACTGTTTTCAAATTTGGATATAAATTAACACATAAAGATTTACTGTACACAGAAAAAAATAGTGACATGTAAGGTAAACAAATAGGTAAACAGATTCTAAAGAAATCGAGGTATTGGCAGCAAAATGCACTAGGATACCACCTTGGAGAGAACAACGAGCTAGCTAATAGATGACTACATGGCATAAAGAGCACAAGCCCTGGAGTCAGTCACAGATACGAATCCAGACTAGCGGGATGATGTTGGATATATTCTTTAACCTGTTTCCTCATCTGTAAAATAAAGATAACAACTTCTTCTGCAGAGTTGCTAAGGTGATCAGAAACCACAGAAGGTCAAAACACTGACACCATGCCTGATACACAGCAGATGTTCTATATATTTGTCATCATTATTTTATTATAAAGACATACTGGATATAATAGACCATATAAAAAGTCAAGAGCCCTGGTTACTAATGGCACTATATGACTGACTGTGCAGCTTGAGACTCAAATTCCTCTTTTATAAAATGAGAGATCTCAAAAATCTTTATCTTTTATTCTGTAACAATTATGTTTTTCCCCAGAATCTTCCCCGTAACTAGATGAAATCTCTGATTTAGTTTAGGTGTATGTTTAAATCAACAAATAATGAAATTAAATTTTCTTCAGAAACAAAACTTCAATAGAGTAGCACACTGAGACCATTATTTGGAGATAAAAAGTCAGAAAACTATTCTTAAATAGATACCTTATTGGTACTCATCGTTAGGAAGAAATTAAGATGTAAATTTAGAGATATTTATAATAATCTAAAAAAAATTACTGAGTCTGTCAAAGAAAACAAATGACAATAACCTTAATTTACACAGTACTGAGAAATAATAGCACAAAAGTGTCACATAAAGGGATGAACAGACACGTGACAAAGCAAACAGAGTAAAACATTAACAGAATCAAAACAGTAGGTATACAGCTGTTGACTTTAAAATTTTTCTTCCTTTGCTGTATGTTTGAGAACTTTCCAATAAAATATTTAGGGGAAAGGCATAAGAAATGCTTTAAAAAATATGCTTAGAAATCACAACCTCTAGAGGACTGAAGCTCTGATTTTTAAAATGGACTTAAATTTGGAGTATCCTTTTATTACCCAACAAAAACATACTTTATATAAATGACCTAACAAGCATTTGTGACCCAAAAATTTGTGACCCAAAGAATTACTATAATACAGTTATGTAATAAATTTCCAAGAACCTTTAATCCTAACCTCCAACTCAGAAGTTTCAAGAATACCCACATACATCAGGGTTGGAAACAGAAAACAGGACTGGATATTAGGATCAAACAGATGTCCCATGATACTTTACTAACTGCTTTATGAATATAAGGACAAAAGGGTGCATAATATACATAACAATAGTGACAGGTATATAATCTTATACCCCAGCCTTACAACTCCTGCTCTATGTCTTAAAGATTCTTTTGTATCCTGTTGGAAAAAAAAAAATGGTAAAACTACCTTTTTGTCTCACTGACCTTGATTAGTCAGTCCTTAGGGAACAAGAATATTAGGACCTGGTCTTGTTTGGGAGTTTCAGCCCAGAAGAACACCAGTTGTTACATATATACTGTCCTCTGTGTGGCCATTTATCTTTCAGCTTCCAGGACAAACTAAGAAATATTTGCATATTATCTCCTCTACCAGTATTTTTCAAATTGCAGGTTATAATCCATTAATGAGTTTTAAAATCAATTAAATAGATTGCAAGCAACATTTAAAAATTAATGTAAAGGAATAATTTTCAAAAAGATAGAACTACCAGAATCTATAACATGTTAAGGTTAATTACTGCTTTATGAAACCTAATGTTCCAGTAGTGTGAACTAGGCTGCAAGGGTGGTATTTAAACATACTGTTAAAAAAAAAATCTTAACTATTTCTTACTGTAACCACACCCTTTTTAAAATATACTTAAGTTGTCCTAAGAGCCCTTTGTCACCCGGATGCAAAGTAATATCCAGAGCAACTCATGCCTTTCTATTCCTAGAATCACAAAACCTAAACACCACATCTCATAGAGACCTTTCATTATAATGCCAAGCAGATGATGTTTTCACAGGTAATGGTGCTCAGCCCTTTGGCCAGATTAAACAGCTGCCACAAGCTGTTTCTAACTATCCAAGTGATGGTCAGCCAAAAGAAAGACTGGCATGCTATTAAGGACTTAAAGAGAATTACTACTTGAAAACATGAGAAAAAATTTAAGTCACGGGAACACATAAGAGAGTTGAGAAGTGCCAAAAAGGTAAACTGGGACTCACTGCTAACTATGTGAACTTACTAACTGAACATATAAGTTTTACAATTTAACTTTTTAAAAAAAGTTAAAATGGAAAAACATAGGGTCTGGCTCTGATGAATATAAATAGTTCAAAGAATTGAAGATTGAAAAATGACTCAGATATTAAAATATTCTACATATTTCATATAAAAATGGCTACTGGTAACACAAAATCTTTAAATACTCAAAATAAAAGGTACTTTTTAAATACAGAATTTACTAAATCAAATAAAACTATAGATATTACCCACAACGTAATAATATTTTAAGGTAGTGTCTCTGTTGTAGCTTTAAAGAATTAGGTTCCAATCATATACATTAAGATCCATCACAATTACCTTAAATAGAGTAGCTGTTTCTGGGATTATTCCTCTAATTTTCACTTGGGGTTCTAAAGGCAATGGGATAAGTTCCACATCTGACAAGTTCATTTTTTCATTGTCTCCAAGCAATGCCTGTAGTCTCTCATTCTAGATGAACAAAATCAGTAAGGATTCACTAGGCTACAATGGAAAAGTAGTTTGTAAGACATGGTAAAGACATAGAGACTGATTCCATTGACTTTAAAATACTTGCAAAGCTTCATAAAAGTATGTACAAAGTAAAATAAAGAAGATAGTGTATATGTGAGACAAGCACTTTTACAATCCACCTGACAAAAGTAAGCAGCATGCTTTAAAAGTAGCAATTACTTGACACTGAAAATCTGGATTTTCTCTTGCTGCAGCTGAGCATCAGGAATATACACAAGCTGGACTTAAAGAGTCCATTTTTATTGTCAAAGAATTTGTGAAACCACAAAGAGAAACGAATTTCATTTGAAGCTTAATTCTGCATGAATATTAAGCAATAATGTCATTATGCTGCTTTAGTGCATGATGTAGGTTTAACAAGTAATCTCAATTCACTAAGAAACATGGACTCTACCTTTTACTGTTCATTAACTCTGTCTGATTAAACTTCCTAAGATATCATTTATTTTCTTCAGTTCACATGCATACTGCATTGAACCAAGATTTCAGAAAATGAGAAATTCAAGTCATGGTGAACAGCTTTGTCATTTAGGAGCATCTATAATGTTCAGACCAAGCCCTTCCATTCAATTTCAAAAGAACAATCTATTTCCTTTGAAAGCCATGAGAAATCTTGCTTTCTTTAAAGGGCAAAACTTGGATTACCAATCCCAGCAGAATAAAACACCTGGACTCTAATGCCATTGAAAGGAGGTATGCATCAAAAGAGAGGACTTTGGAATGAATGTGGTGGTAGTTCAGAAAAATAACATGTTTCAAAGACCACCAAGACATAAAATTCAATGTTTTCTTTTCAGAAATACTCCCAATTCTCCTTCTGAATCATGCAAGTTCAAGGTAAGAGCAACTGAAAACCGGTATTAATTTCTACATATACCTTACAAAAATTAGTAAATCTACTCAGTAACTGAAGGTTTGATCAGATATACTAGTGTGAAATAATGTCAACTAGTTTGAATTTCAAGTTATCCAGCATACCAATTTCCAGTTGGTGTGCTAATAAACAATAAAACAGAAAGCAGGTGAGAAATCAAGCCACTTCTCCCCACCTCAACTGCCACGAGCCCTGGAATCCAAGCCACCATCACTTCTCATCTTGATTATTCCAACAGCCTCCTGACTGCTCTCTTTCAAGCTTTGCCTCTTACAATCTCTATTGAAAATAAGTAAGTACTGTTGCTAAAATCAAAGTCAGATCACATCACTCTTCTGTTGAGAACCTCTAATAACTTCCACTCTGAACTTATATTCAATGATGAAGTCCAATTCCTTGTACTGGCTTACAGGGATATATTTCATCCATTGTGGAGTACATCTATGATCTCAGTCCTCTGTCTTCATCTCCTACTGTTCTCCCCCATGGTACCTTTGCTGCAAATACACTGGGCTTCTTCCCATTCCACAAACATGGCACATATGCTCATACACGTATGCTCCTACATCAGGGCCTCTGTACTTGCTGTTCCTCTGGCTGGAACAGTTTTCTCTAGATATTCCCACAACTTGCTCCATCACCTGCTTCAAATCTTTGGCCAAATGTCAGCTTCTCAGTGAGGCCTTCCTGTCTACGCTATTGAGAAGTCAAACACTGCCTTACAACTTGAAACCAGCACTTTCTGTTCCCCTTACTAACCTTATTTTTCTCCATAGCACACAACACTATCTAGAATACTATATATTTTACTTGCTTATTTGGTTAAATTTTCCCTCCAACAAGAATGTAAGCTCCATAAAGGCAGAGAATTTAATATTCACTGCTATATCCCCAGAACTTAGAAAAGTGCTTGGCTTGCAGTAGGCATGCGATTCATTAGTATTGCATAAATGAATGCGCTCACCTAAAGGATTAAAAAAGTGGAAAAAGACTACTTAACATTCAGTATGAAAGCTTTAATTTTTTTAGAAGTCAGTGGAAATGCATTTTTATTAGAACTCAAATATCTAGACTCAAAGACAAGCTCTTTCAACATGATTTTTCCTAAGCCAGAAGTCAACACAAGAAAGAAGATAGCAACAACATTATCATTTGTTTCACCCATTTGGCACTGAACTCAAGGATCACCATGTTACATATCTAACACTACTGCCCTCACCGTGATGTTTCTCCCTGTTTCATTATATGGGATGGAAAAGTGCTACATAGGATTTTAATTACTAGCAGTAGTCATTCCATTATTTCTATCAGTAATGGAAAGAATGGTAGCTGAAAGCAATCTTAGCATTTCGGCATGGTGCCAGGACTATGCCTAGTAAATCTGTGTAGTAAATAACATTAAATTTGTCTTTTACCACATCACAAAAAGATGTCTAAGATTTTTGGTCAGTGTTGAAACTGTATTTGGGATTGTCTAACTTATTAAAATACAGGTTATGTGGCAGAAAAACAATTCATGCTGTGGGGCCTTAAGTGATTCAAACAGGTAGTCATCATCCGGAACAGCTAAACCCGAGGTGCAGCCAGAGGCTCAGGTGTGCAGTGAATAGACGAGCACATCCTACAAAAACAAACTGGTTTAAATACATGCCCCACACTGACAGTCACCGGAACAGAGACTTCCTTTTGCTGGTGGGCATCTGGGGTCATACGGCTTCTCACACAGGCACCTCCGGGGAGGAGGGCTCCAGGAGAAATGCACTAAGGATACAGTTGCTGAATGATGATTTGTAATTCTTAATAACAAAGAAAATGCAAACAATAAAAAGGTACTTCTCTTCAGCCTATTTTTCTCATTCCTAACCTTGTGAACACTTCCTTGCACATGTATCTGCTAACATTTCTCTTTAGACCTGATACCTTGCCTTTGAACTCCTAACCCAATTTTTCATCTTTTCCTCTTTCCACATTCCTCTCACAAGTCTACATAACAACAGTAAAATGTGTCATGTTGTTTTATTTTACAAGGGCCATTTAGAAAGATCTACCTACTATGGGATAAGGTAACAGGAGATTATCAGGTGAATCCCTCATATCACTTAGATTTTCAGGTAGAAAAAAATGATATATGAAGACTGAATACTCATCTATTCTCATCAAGTAGAAGTCTCACTGTATAGAGAAAGATCACTGTCCTAGTTGTGAGAACAGGTAAAAAGCCAGTGTTGTTATGAATATCTACTTTCACAATACATAAAGTCACTCTGGACTTTCATTTTTTCAAAATAATTCTAGTCTAAATGATCTCTAGAGATCCCTTCCATGTCAAATAGATTATACTCTAGGAAGCTAAGATTTTAAAGAGCCAATAAAACACTGTAGATAAAAATATGGACTCAGAATGCCTGGGTACAAATCCCAACACCAACACTTGCTAACTGAGGACATGAACAAATTACTTAACCTCTCTATCCCTACTTTCTCTTAGAATTGGTATAATAATAGTACCTAACTTACAGGGTTGTTGTGAGAATTAAATTAATATATGTAAACTCATAAAACAGGACCCCATACATAACTAGTACTGAGAAGTGTTCCTATTATATTTACATGATACGAATTTCATAAAATTGCCAACCCAAACAGACAAATCTCCGTATTTTATGACACCAAGACATTATGAGTCATAAACAGAAAGCAAAGCCCATGGGTCTACCTTTTTCTTACGATTGCCGCTTTCCCGCTGTACTGCCTTCATGAGATGCACCAGCCGGTCTACAAATGTCTGCTGTGCAGCCAGCAAAGAACGCATAACTCTGACAGACTTATCACCCTGAAGGGATTGAAAGAAGAGGAAAATTAGTTTCGACGAAGCATAATGATCAGGTTTCCTTTAATAGCATGGGTGATCTTTATTTATTCCTCTAATAGCTGCAAACTTCAATACAAAGTAAAATTGAAAAAGATTATCCTGATTCAGAGATAATGAGAAACTTGCTAGCTTCTTTAACCACCACCAACTCTTTCAACCAACAGTTGAAAATTATTTGAGTCTTCAGTGAAACTTACTCTATCAAAAACAGCACTTTTTCACATACAGTCATGTGGCACAATAAAATTCATTCACTCAAAATGCATTCACCCATTGATTGATTAAATATCTGGATACCTGTGAAGCCCAGAAATGTGCTGGGCATATGACACAATATTATCCTCAAGGAACTAAAAATATACTCAAAATACTCAAGTAGCAACATAATAGATGCTTGCTTAGTAAAATAAAAGTCATAAAAACTAAGTGTTAAGTATTATGCAGTGATTCCAAGTTCATAAAACCAATTTTCTCTTTTAATCTTCCCAATTACTTGATAAAGGGTAGCTGAGCAAATACCCTCATTTCAAACATGAGAAAATTTAAACTCAGAGAAAGTGATTATTTCTTCAGGGGTTGTTGACAAAGGCAGTAAGTGACAGAAACTAGATTAGAAAAGAGGACCAACCATTTGTTTGCCAATCAGTCTGATGTAGAGAAGCTCTCAGCTTTGAGGACTACATAAAGGTTTAGTCTCAAAGAGTCCAAAAGGTGTGATTTAAATTTTTAAAAACACGAAAGAGCAGATAAAAGATGCTATGAAGTAAAATATTTCTGTAGCAAATCACAGCCTGATGCTGTGAGTTTTCCTTCCATTGCCCATGCACCCTCTGCTGGCTGAACTGCAACACATTTCAGAATCACAAGAACACCATGGGAAAATGGCTTCACATATCTCGAAAAACTGTTTAAGAAGCAAAACACAAGTTACACAGAAAATATCTGCAATATAACCACTGCCAGCTTTCTGAAAGTGTGACTAGTCTTGATAAGAAAAAAAGAAAACAAAAAAGGGAAATAAGAAAGCACAAGTTTGGAGTTTTCTGGCTCCAGGTATAGGCTTATAAGTCAACAAACTTCCTGTCAGGGGCCAAGAAATAAATATTTTAGGCTTTGCTGGCCATACAGCTCCCATTTCAACTATCCAATTGCTATTGTAGTAAAAAAGTGGCCATAAACAATATAAAATAAATGAGTATGACTATGTCCCAATAAAATTTTATGTATGAACACTACAATTAGAATTTCACATTGTATCACAAAATATTCTTTTGATTTTTTTTAACCATTGAAAAATACAAAAATCATTCTTCACTCACAGAACATACCAAAACAGGCAACAGGCCAGTCTGGCTGGTCCTCTGTGTTTGCCATCCCCCACATTCAGTGGCTATGGTTACCTTCAGCAATGCTTGGCTGAATCGTCTCATTACATTCAAGTACATCTCATGGGTCTTTGGATCTCTCTGCTGAGTATCTTGATCTTCACATTCCACTATTACATACCTCAAAAATATGTTAAGTCATTCATATAAGGTGAAATGAAATTCAGATTCATTTTGTAAATCATCACACATTTCCATTAAAACAGAAAAGTCCCATTTGCAAAATTAATTAAGTGGAAATGATAAAACACATTTTATCATTAGTCTTTTAAAACTGTTAAATTACAGGACAACATATATAACCGTCTATGAAAGGCAAATTAATAACAATAATGCTTTAATATATACAATATCCTAGATTTCCTAAAAATCTGGCTTTAAAACAAGCATTTTCACCCAGCACTTTACAAGGTATAAAGAGCATTAACATCTTCAGAAATCATCTTAAACTCACACATTCACACTAACTCACAAACAAGAATATTTTCATAATCTATAAAATACTTTTAGTATTATATAAGGCTCTTATTAGTCTACAAAGTAACTGTATAGGCAGTTTAGATTTCAGCAATGATCTGGATTATATCTTACAGATCATCTAATCCAGTGTTTCTAAGTGTTGTGACGCAAACCAGCCATACTAATAACCACATTTTATGTCGTAACTCAGGACACACAGTCACCTCTGTGCACACATGATACTCAAGACAGAAAAACAGTTTGACAAAGGAACACCCTATGAATATATTAATAATGCTATTCTGTTCTATTTCATTTTTCTTTAACAGATGCTAGATTGTCTTTAAATTGTTTTCAACGGATCAAAATGTGTAGTCTGAAAAACACAGATCTAGCCCAACTTGTTGTATCAATAGTGAAACTTTAGAGGGCTGTCTTGCCTACATGACACATTAGTTTGGTTGTAGAGCTGAAATCAGAACCAAGGACTTGACTCAAAATTCTTTATTGCTACTAAGCTTATTCTCACAATGTTTAATCTTTTAAAACCACATGAAACATATCAACTCCCTTAACTGATAGGGTTTCACAAATTTCAAGGTACAGTCACTTATTATTTTCCTTTATACTATTTCTTGGTAAGAGGATGTTCAGCCACTAGAAGGTACACTTTGTGAGAACAGAAACTTACCTTCTTTTAGGGTCTTTGCAATATACCCTCAGCATTCCCATTCTTGGCTCATAATATTAAATATATTATTGTTGAATGAATGAATGATTTCATTCTCATGGATTTAACCATTATCTCAATGTTGATAATTCTCAAATATGAATATATATCCCTTTTATCATTTCAAAGGTCTAATTTTACATTTCATTACATGGCCTGCTTTCATATTCATCCACTCTCATTTTCAAGCAATAGACTCCCATTCCAAGACACTGTCTGTCATTTTTAACTGAACATGTTTAAAACTGAACTTGCCATTCTAAATGACTTATTTTTCTATCACCATGGAAGGTACTATCAATATTCCAGGCATTTGGGGTAGAAATTCTCATGTAGCTGGATTTACAATCTCAAGTTTTCTCAAAAATCGGGCAGGGAACATAAATGTTTGAATCACTTGAATATAAGAGAAGTAAAGCTGTAGTCAAACCAGATATGCAAGATCTACTAAAACTGTCAACAGCACCTTGTATTTAATTTGTGGTCCATGCATCTACAGGCAAATGTAGCTCACATGCGCCTGCCTCAACCACCTATACTCAAGTAGTCACTAGACCCTATTTACTTTTCCCTATAAAATGCTTCTTACAATGGCTCTGTACTACTACCAGCCTCATCTGTAATCAACCATCAGATAACTCTTAACCTGGCCTCTCCAACTCTAAAAGAAACCACTTATTGTTCAATACAATCATCCTAAATTTTTCTTTAAATGATTTTAACTGTGATCCACTTATATTAAAAACATTAATGCTTCCCTCTTGTCCACTATTTTAAAACAGTTTCTGTGGCCCCAAGGTTCTGGTCCAAACTTCAACTATCCTCAACTTAAGAATTCATACTCCAGGCAGGTATTAATACCCTTATGTACAGAAATTGGAAGTTCCCTGGCCAGAATCCTCATCTGATCCTAATCTAACTTCCCATTGTGCAAGTGCAATGATGTAATACTCAACTTACTGTGCAAGCACATGCTTGCACACATGTGTACAATAAGCTATTATAAAGAGCTCCACCCAATGCTCAGCATAGACCCAGGAGGGGAGGCAGAGGCTAGACCAGAGGCAGAGATGGAGAAAGGCTTGCTGCATGCAGATTTGCTGAAGGTCGATAGGATTCTAACAGCTGACCTGCCACCGTAAGAATAAAGATGGGTATGAACCCTTTTACCCCCAATGTTCCATTGTCATTTTTCGGTCTCACCAAGTTACAGAGTGAACTTGCCTGGGGCTGAAATTCCCTTCAGGCAAGACATTTGGCATAATTGGCAGGATTTAATGCAGACCAAAAAACAGAAAAAGCTGCTCTCATGGGTGGGGTACTTCAGTGGGCTGCCCCTATGGATGGCAAAACACTCGAGTATCTCTGAATAGGCCTATGGTCCAGGATGGCCTCCTGCGGAAAGTGCAAGTCATGAACTCATCCGAGTAGAACCGGTTTGAACATGGCTGCAATGACCACCTGGTGGAAATCCGTCTCCCCAGGCTTGAGGATGAATATCATCTGTTGTTATTTGTATACCATCATCATAATTCCTGTTGTTATTTGTATGTTGTTGTAACCTCTGTTGCTGTTGTAGAGTCTGGTTGCAATGCTCTAGCTTTCTTGCACAGGGACCATCAGGGAAAATTAAGACCACATAGATTCTGAGGTGAGAATCCTGGCTGGGTGGATTTCCCTGGAGAGAAAAATGGAAGTTCCATTTTTTAATAGTTGCCTTACTATGCAGGATCATGCTCACATATGTTGGTGATAAGCCATTATTGTCTGTGTTGCTATATAAAGAGAGCTACCTAGCCTGGAGGGAAGGAAGAGCCTGGAATGGAGGTAGAGGCTGGAGCGGGGCAGAGGCTGGAGCAGAGGCAGAGACAGAGATGTGCTTGCTGCATGCAGATTTTGCAGGAGGCAGATGGTATTCTAGCACCTGACCTGCCACCGTAAGAATAAAGCTTGGTGTAAATCCTTTTACTCCCAACATTCTGCTGTCATTTTTGTCTCACCAAATCCAGAATGAACTTTCCCAGGGCTGAAATTCCCCTCAAAGAAGACACCTTACCATCCCTCACATTTGCCTATTTTGTGTTTCTGCTCATGTTGCACTACGGTCCAGAAACACCTTCCCAAACTACATCTTCCTTTATTCTACCCATCCATCAATTACAAGCAACACTTTACTGCTTCTAGGAAGTCTTCACAGATCCTAACAACTTCTTTCATCTCTGACTTCCTAGAATCAGCATAGCCTCTCACAGACTTTTTAATAATGTTACTTTGTCACTGTTTCATATGTTTAACTCCTAATTCCCTTCACAGATTATATGGAAATTGATGCTGATGCCATATCTCAAAATTTTTCAGTAGCCCCTGACATATCCAGTATAGTCTCATACACAGATATATTTTAAGAGCTGATAAAAGTTAGTCTTCCTCCCCCAACTTCCCAGTGCTATGCTTTATCATGATAATAGGTGTTCTCTCAGAGTTGTATAACCTAAAATTTTCTGTAAAGTGGTATGAGGAAGTGAACCATGATACTATATCCACCATCTCATGTGCCCAAGAATTCTAAACCAAAAATTCAAGGCGGCTTTCTTGAATCATGAATCAAGAAAGCCTTCTAGAGCCACAGGATATATATGACTATTTAAAATAAAAATTAACTGAAATTAAAATTTCAGTTTCTCAATCACACTATCCACATTTCAAGTGCTCAACAGCCATGTGTGCATCACTGTGGGTTATTTCCATTACTGAATAAAGTTTTTCAGTTAGCTCTTTTCTAGATGAATAAGCTAAGAACAGTTAAGACAAACTCATATTTCCTATTCACAGTATTCCAAGATGTTTGATCACCTGCAACCATAACCTAAATGTCAAACAGTCATTCTCAACTACAAAATATCAACAGTTTTATTCAAATCCAATTCATACCTTTCTATCCTTTAAAGTCCTTAACTATCTCCAACACCTCAGTATATTCATTGTCTTTTCCTGTGTGTTTACAAAGCAAACTCATTTCCAAATGAGCAATACAGATGACCTCAACATAGAGGTGCCACTGGTCTGTTCAGGTCTCCTTGACCACCAAGTAAACAAAATGACCACAGCTAGCTCCTGTGATTGAGGATCTGCGTTAGCACTCATAAGGGTCATATATATCAAACATCTCTCAAAATCATTCATGCCAAAGTTCTGCTGTAACAAGGAAGTCCATCTAAAATAAAAATAACAGCATCATCACCAAATATGAGGGATAAATGTAGATCAAGATTAGAAGACCAAGATTTAAATCATTTCTGAATTCTCTGCTCACAGCAGTAAGTAATCTATACAAAGCACTCTAAGGTAGCCCTTTGAAATCTGTCATCTTCAAGTAGAAATGCAGACAAAACTGTCTGGGTATCCATTGTAAGATTATATCAGTGGGCTACCTGTTTCCTGGCAATTTCATTTTGTGGGGTAAATAACCTTTATTACCTTGAAAGGTCTTAAAAGTTATAGAAAAACATGTCAAAGCATCCAAAGTTTACTTTCAATTTCAACATACTGGAATAGCTATAAAAATAAAAAAGTAAAATGATTTATAGATCCTGATGCCCAACACTTTTATAGATTGGAGGCTATAACACCCCTCTGTGGCTTAAAAGGTTGACACTATTCAATTTAAAAGGATTATCTGCAGAACTATAGGCCCCTGAGGATTGAGCTATAGCAGGAACCCCATTTAAATCACTAGGAAAAGAACAAATGGAAAAAAATTTCAAAATATTCAAATGGACACAGCATAATCAATTAAAACTTATATTTTAATACATTTGTTACAATAAACTTTTTAACTTGTTATATTTGATTAATATTTTAATACTATTGTGTCCATTTTCAAAGAAAAAGAATGGTCACTTTATACCCACTATTTGAAGTTATTTCCCATATTTTCACTCTACAATCACAAAAGAAGTGTCTACCAAAGTCAGAAATCCACATCAATAGCTTTTCTTCCCCATGAGTATTTCTGAATATGTAATATGCAGACTGTAAATACGGGAAAAACAATTACTCCTCAGAGAATGAACAGACACAGCACATGGTATTGCTTCAATGAATCAGAGACATAGTGGGAAAACACAAATCAAATCTAAGTTTGACGGAATGCTTATAAGACTGGGAACTCGGGTTGCACTTTGTGTATTATCTATGAAGAAAACAAAATGCTCTTTCTGAACAGAAACTGTTGCCTTGTTGGAAACTGTTCATCTAATAGGTTTCCTACTATTCAGCTGCCTTCAGAATGGTTTGAAAACTCTTCTTACTTGAAATAAGACATCAAGATTCTATTTTCAGATTTCACAATGAAAGCTGGTCTACAGTAAATCCAAAAAGTACACAATTTTAAAACACCACATATTCAGTATATTCACACACAGCTCTTAAGTGACTAATTTATAAATTATGAGCCAGAGAAAAACCTTCCATGAATACTGCAAGGAAATAAAAATACTTATGAAAGAATTCTCAGTAAATAATTTTAAAAAATATAAAATCTTAACTCTACAATACCTTTGAAGCTTTAAATATCTACTCAAAAACTTGGCAACATGCTGAATAATATGTATTTTTTTGTTCTCTTTTATAAATATTTGGGTTTTTCTAGAGGAAATATTTTTCCTTAACACCAGTGAATAGACCTACATTTAAGAATTCACACTGGAATATGGAGAACAGTAGCAAAGAAAAAGTTACAATAAAAGGAAAGAGCAGCTATTTGATACTCCAGAATTTCTAAGTAACTTTTTCAAAGTAAAAATGGTGATTAACAACTAGTCAAAATATCCTATGGGTGTATTTCCAAGGACATAATGAAATTTACTGTGAGGGAAAGTAGTTTTATGAATATTATATTGAACTGATAAAGTAAAAGTAAGGAATTATTTTTCTTCCCACTAAGGGCTTAAAAAAAAATCACAGGTTCCCAAGGGGCAGAAAGAAGATAGATTTATTTAAGATTGATAGTAGTTTTTCTTCACTGTGAAGAGAACAATAAAGGAATAAACAATGACTTATTGCATGTGTAAAGATGAAGACCTGTGTTTGTTAAAAGAGCCCTCTGACTTTAGTTACTCATTTCATGGCTACAGTGCAATTTTAGAATAACACTATGCTTGGAGAGTGGGAAAATGAAGTTAAGGCATGATTTGACCTGCAAGACAGTTTCTCCAAACTCAGTCTAAAACAAGATACTATTTTGTTTAATTTCTTCATGAAAGCAAATGTCTCATTATTCTTCAAAAATAATGAGTTTTCAGACCGGATATATGTTGATTTGTACTGTTGAAGTAAACACTGTAAAATGAGCAGCAAGATTAGATCAGAGATCATTTCTATGGTAAAGAACACTAAGTATGTCTGTGACAGATAAAGGGAGCCAGGATTCATTTTAATTGTGTCCCAGGAAGTCAGTTCTTCTTTCTGTGCCATAATTTCTCTTTCCTTCAACTCACTCAAGACACTTGTGTTCATGTAATACAGAGATGCTTATACTTATCCTATTTAACTTCACACGGACAAATGAGAAAAGGTCACTGAAAGTACTCTGTAAATGGCAAAGTGATAATAATTAATGTAGTCCTCATTCACACATTACCAAGTTCAGGTACATTATGCTTCTGCCTCAGTTTCCTCATCTATGAAATAATTAAGTCCAAATTCCAACCTCCCATTTTTGCATGATTCCAATGTTTTGGTAAATAATGTGAAAATACATACTCCCAAAGGACTGTGAAGTTATAGGCACACTGCTTAAGCAGCATAAAAGGCAAAACAGATATTAAAATAAAAAAAATTAATACCTTACCCACTTTTATCTCAGATCCAGGAAAATTAGTGAAAGAAAGAGAAACAGTATAGCTAACAAGCATAGCCATGAGCACAGCTATAAAGGAATACAACTAGATAGATATAAATACAGAATTTAGGATGCTGATGATTACTTACACCTTAAACTATCTTTTATTTACAGTATGGGAAAAAAATAGTCCAAAATAGTAATAAGAAAATAAGCAGAAAATTATTTTACCTACCAGTATAAATAGTTAGCCAGTGTTGAGTTTTTGCAAGCCCTTGATATCAAGAAGGTACAGAGATCTTGCTGAAAGAATTAAAAGAAATATATATATATTTTAATGCTATCTGGTATTAATAAGAGGGAAATAAGACAACTTACATTTCCCTATTAGTTTTCATTTACATATCTTATGTCACAAATGAGATTTTCATCCATCCACCTATCCCTCCATACCTCCATCCAATATTTATTCTAAACCAGGCAGTAAGTGAGAAGTTAAAAACACCATGGTTTGCACAGTTCCTTTTCCTACTGGAAGCCGAACATTTGGTGGAAGAGAGGGGCTTTAAACAGTCATAGAAATAATTTAGATAGGGAGGTTGAAAAATGCAGCAGTAAGGATATGATATTTAGGTGACACCATGGATAAAGGCCCTGAACTATACTGTCCAGAGAAAAATTTTAAGGCCCAGTGTAGCCCAAAGAAAGCAAACACTAAACCAAGGAAGTTTAAAAGCCAGGTAAAGGCCAAATTATGCAAAACCTTAAAGGTCACACTATTGAATATGGATCCTATTTTCAAAGTCACAGATACTCAACAAAAGGCTTTAAGCAGGAGAGTGAGATGATCTGATTTGTATTTTATGAAAATGACTTCAGTTGCACTGAGAAGTACAGACCTGAGGACAATTAGGATGCTATTACAGTCTAGAAGAGTAAAAGGTGAGAGTGGAAACAGAAGTAGACACATTTTTTTTAAATACTCTGGAAGTAAAATTAATAGGACTTGATGATGGAGAAGTTAACATTAACTCCCAAATTTATGGATGTAGCAAATGGGTTGATTTGTTATACCACAGATGGAAATTCCAAGTGAGGAACAGGGAGAGAGAGTTCTATTTTGAAATAATAAATTTGAAATGTCTCTCAGACAATGGAGATCAAGTAGGTATCAGGATATATGACTCTAACATACGAGAGAAATGTGCTAGAAACATAAATTTGAGATTATCAGTACAGCCTAGGGCAAGAGTATAAATTGAGAATAAAAAAGTACCCTCAGGAGCATTAAGATGTCAAGCAGTAGAGAAAGTGCTAACAAAGGAAACAGAAGGAAAAACCAGAGAGGTAAAGAGGTAAACAAGGGATGCAGGGTATCATCTCACCCACATGAAGAGTTGAGTTTTTCAAGAAGGGAGTTGTTTACTTTGCTGAATACTGCTGAGAGGAACTGAAAGGTATCCACAACTAACAAACATTAAAGCCATTTACTACTTTAGCAAAGCAAGTTTTAATATAATGATGGGAACCAAAGCTTAGAATGATGTGATTAAAAATGGAAATAAAGTTATATATATACAAACATCTCCTTTAACAAAATAAGGTGCTATTGCAAGGGATGTGGTGTGAAGGGACAGTTTTGTGTTTTGTTTTCTCTGAGTGTTTTAAATGGGAGATACTAACGAATATTTGAATATTCCACCAGGAAAAGAAAAGAGCCTGTCTTGGAAGGGAGTTTATTTCTTCCAATTAAGAAAACAAGAAAAAGATGGAAAGGGAAGTGGAAATGAGACCATTCTTACCTAGTGGATTCTATTTGTTTCATTAAGGATGAGACAGAATTGTCATTTGGAGATTGGGAGACAGAACATGAAGAAAAGAGTAGAGAAAGTACAAAAGAGTCACTGCAGAGCAGGAAGAGCAACCAACCTGGAGAAATGAAAGATGGTAGGCAGTGCTGAGTGCCCATCTGATATTTGTGACCAATGTCCTTACACTGATACCAACATGCTAAGCTATGTACTTTTCTTCAGCAATATCCAGCACAGAGAAATTAGGTAATTAATTAGCCTTATCAAGGGATAAGATTTTCCCAGGAAAACTGAAGGTACTAATAAAAAAATGATTAAAATGGTGAACCATAGGATAAAAGCTATATTTAAAGGGGATGATAAACAAAGAAAAACGTAGGGCTTAATGAATTAGAAGTTTTAATGTAGTAGGGGTTCCTAAAAAGTAAGCTAGAGTAATGGAAGGCTGTTCCCACAAAGAACATATGTCAGGGCTTTCAGAGGTAGCAAGAATCCTATCTCTAACCTTAAAGCTGAAACCTTAGCACTGCATTTTAAACGTGTAACATTTAAAAACTCAGTAAGGACACACCTCAATCAGAAAACCATAATGCAATGTTGAAGCCATGAGTTTAACAGGAAAGTTTATTTTTGATTATATGAGAATGATATGTTTTTATATAGTGGTATATAGACTTAAATAGAAAACACATGTGTTTCATTTCATATTATGCTTTTTTCATTAAAAAAATTTACTTTGTGAGACAAGACACATGTTCTATTAATTTTTAAACAACCTAGATATGCAGTATTTTAAAGTTTTTAAACAATTAGAAGAATGTGCTTTAGGCAAGAGAAAATGACCTCCTGTTGAAGGTCAAAAATATAATAAGAAATGGTAAATAAGGATACAGGTAAGCATCACAAAATAGTTACTGACTGCATATAATAATACTATTTTCTAACATTGATCTAATTAAATATGACAGAGCTAAAATACTGGATAAAAGTTACATATGATAAAAAGTATACTGCATTAGAGGAAGGTAGTACTAATCATGCCAGATGTAAAAGTAAGGGTAGATGTTAAAGTATCTAGTATACCCTGTAAAAGAATTGATAGAGACAGTATAACCTCCTAGCTGGGATAGATATGGAGTTTGGGGAAGGGGATTGAGTGAAGTACAGGTAAGAAAAAAAAAAAAAGATTGGAAACTATCACATAAGATGGTAGAATAAATCCATATACAGTTCTAATCACAATTAAGACAAATGGGGGGATTAAACCTCCTCCTAAAACCACATATAACATGAAAATATAATTACTACAACTAATCCTGAAAGAGCAACAGGAAAGAAGGCTGTGCCAGACAGCATACACCTGGAGGAAAGAATAAACCTCACAAACAGGGTAACATATCGAGGCCAAGACCCAGCAGAACCCAGCACACCATCGGGAGGAAGAGAAACAGAGCAGGGAGGGAGAGGAGGGCTAGGACTGCTGAACACCTAGCCCTGGAGATCTGCTCTGGAGGTTTGAACTTACATTGCATGGTGCTCTGGTGATTAGTGGGATTGGAAAGCTAAGACAAGCAGAATACCTGGAGAGACTGACATTCCAGGTGATTGTGGAAAACAGAGATCTATATCTGGATGATCTGGGTGGGCAGTCTGAGAGACTTGCTAAAAGTGAGATGGCTGCTAAAGGGGCAAGGATTGCACAGAGCTTACTGCTCAGGAGAAAGGACAGGTAAACAAAATTGTCTGGGTGCACTCTGCCCAGCAGATTGGGAGCTTTCATGATCTTCAGATGTTCCATTGCCCTGGCTGGCTACACAGCTCCAAAGCCCCCCACTGTGATACACCTGCTACACCCTCCTCGCAGTCAGCTCTCACCTGGCTCACAAACTGGCAAACCCTGCCTTGGCATCAGGCCAGCCAGAGGGAAGCCCCGCCTACAGAAGCAACAATTGGAAAGCATAGAGGCTTACACCTGTGTGTTCAGCCCACTGGTAGTGCCAGTGGAGACAGACATAGCAATTGGGAAGCAGGAAAAAGCTCTTTCCTCCTCCCAGGAACCAGGACAATTTGCCTGCAACCTTCTGACAAAGCTCCAGGGGCAGAGCAGCTCCAGAGAGTAGAGCTTCTGGGCACTAGAGGGCATCACATACAAATATGAAACGTCAAAGGAACCTGGTTCAAAATCTCAACACCAGAAAAAGAATCAAGTGACACTGAACTAATAAATACTCTTGAAAGAGATTTCAAAATAAAAATCATAAACATGCTCATGAAGGTATAGAAAAATATTCTAGAACTCAGGAACGAATTTAGGATGTAGATCCAATCATTGAGGAACAAAATGGAGGGTATTAAAAGCAGATTAGATAAGGTGGAGGAGACAATACATGAAATATAAATTAGAGAAGAGGAATAGAAAGAAGCTGAGACACAGAGAAAAAAAAGGATATCTAGGAATGAAAGAATACTGAAAGAACTGTGTGACCAATCCAAACGGAACAATATTCACATTATAGGGATAGAAAGTGTCTTTGAGGAAGTAATTGCTGAAAACTTCCCCAATCTGGGGAAGAAAACAGTTTTGCAGACTATGAAAGTCCACAGATTTCCCAACACAAGAGACCAAAGGAGGACAATACCAAGAAATAAAATAATTAAAATGGCAAAGATCAAGGATAAGGACAGAATATTAAAAGCAGCCAAAGAGAAAAAAGATCACATATAAAGGAAAGCCCATCAAGCTATCATCAGACTTCTTAGCAGAAACCTTACAGGCAAGAAGGGAGTGGCATGATGTATTTAATGCAATGAAGCAGAAGGGCCTCAAACCAAGAATACTTTATCCGGCAAGATAATCATTTAAATATGAAGGAGAGATTAAACAATTTGCAGGCAAGCAAAAGATGAGAGAATTTAACTCCCACAAACCATCTCTACAGTGTATTTTGGAAGGACTAATATATATGGAAGTGTTCCTAAGGTTCAATAGCTGTCACCAAAGGTAATAAAAAGTGCTAGACAAAGAGTATAGATATAATACATCATATATAAAGAATGGAGAAGAAAAGGACGGAAGAAAAAAGAACCTTTAGATTGTGTTTGTAATAGCATACTAAGTGAGTTAACTTAGACTCTTAGATAGTAAGGAAGTTACCCTTGAACCTTTGGTAACCACGAATCTAAAGTCTGCAATGGCAATAAGTACATACCTATCGATAATCACCCTAAATGTAAATGGTCTGAATGTACCAATCAAAAGACATAGAGTCACTGAGTGGATAAAAAAATAAGACCCAACTATATGCTGTCTACAAGAGACTCACTTCATACCCAGACATACACAGACTAAAAGAGAAGGGATGGAAAAAGATATTTCATCTAACTAACAGGGAGAAAAAAGCAGGTGTTGAAGTACTTATACCAGACAAAACAGACTTTCAAACAAAGAAAGTCACAAGAGACAAAGAAAGCCATTACATAATGATAAAGGGG